GCCAAGGCTGATAGGATCCTTAGGTTTCTTCTTCTCTCCCTACAGACAAGGTCTCTGGTACTATGTAGGCCTGGCTATTCTGGAACTCACAGAAATCCACCGAGTGCTGGGTTAAAGGCTTTATATTTTTTATTTTTTAGCATTTGTTTGCCTGTGTGTGTGTGGAGGGGGAGGGGGGTGGGTATGCATGTGGAGTTAAGAGGACAACTTGTGGGACTCAGTTCTCTCCTTTCACTCTGTGGTCACACATTAAGTCAGATTTCCACGTTTGGCCCCAAGCACTTTACAGCTAGGAGTCAACATGTCTGTTTGCAAGTCACTGTGGTGCTTTTAAAGTATGCTTTGTGGCCAGTGAGATGGTTCATAGTGCTTGCTGCCAAGCAGGATGACCCAAGTTCAATCCCTGAGATCCACATGGTGGTGGAAGAAACAGACTTCTTACAAGTTGTCCCCTGACTTCCTCACGTGCAGTGTGGCACACACCTTTTTCCACCCCAATAAGTAACTGTAATAATAAAAAGTATGCTTTGTGTTTTGTGCCTCAATTGTAGATAAATCCACAGCTTCCTAGGCCCTTTACAGTCTTTGAGGTAATGCTTAGGAGAATAGTTTATTATTTATCCAGTATTGGGGATAAAACTCAAGACAAGGCTCTTACCACGATGTGGTGTGTATATTTTCTTTTGAGACAAGATCTCAGGTAGTCCTGGCTAGCCTAGAGCTCACTATGTAGAACAGGCTAGTCTCTTGTTTGTTGTGTGCTGGGATTAAAACCATTTGCCACCATGCTTAGCTAATTTTATATTTTCTTAAACTGGTTGGGGTTGGATGGGGGAATGTTGAAAATGAATAGTGTTTTGTGATGTGTACAAATTATGCAAAATTTGTCCTTAAGCTCTCATGATTGGTTTGTTTGGACACAGCTGTTGTCATTTATTTATATGCTTGTGACTTCTTCTGACTACAGGAGAGCTGGGTTGCTATGGTAGATATTGCACAACTACAAAAACTGAAATATTTACTGCCTGGCTCCCCCCCCCCCACCTCCTCCATGACACTTTTGAGACAGTGTCTTGCGTATCCCAGCCTCCTCTCTATACTTCTCAAGTGCTGGGATTGCAACCTTTGCTTTATGCAGGGCTGGGGATCAAACTCAAGGCTTCATAAACATGCTAGGCAAACACTCTCTCTACTGAGCTACAGCTCGTTGTACAAATTGTTTGCCATCTCCTGGTTTGGCAAACCTGAAGGATATATAATGGAAAAGAAAAACTTCCATGTTGAAAAATGATGTTGAAAAAAATGGATTTGGGGAAGCTTTATGTGGAAACACTATGTCCAAAACAAAAACAACCCACAGAGAACAGTGTTATGGATCACTACAAAGTTGTCCTGGCCCTCGGGGATTCGACGAGACCTTAGGGAAGGGGGTGAAAGAATGAAGGGACAAGAGACACAAGACATGAGAGCAAGTCTGGAGTTCTGATCAAGCTCTGAAACTTTAATTTCGGGGGGGGGGGGCAGGTTATAAAGACACAGCAAACTGGGAAGTTTGGGTGAGGGTCATTGCTTAGCGTTATCCCACTATTGAATGCTTATTGCCCTAGACCATCCCACTATTGAATGCTTATTGCCCTAGACCATCCCACTGTCATATGCTTATTGCCCTAGACCATCCCTTTGTGGTAACCAGCTCCTAAGAAATGCCAGACGTTCTTTAAATTCCTGGGATCTGAGACTAGGTTTCCCAGAACAGCAGGTAATTTCCTGGGAGCTGGATGGACAGTGTGATGGCTCAGCAGGTGGAGGTTCTCATCACCAACCCTGATGACCAGAGTTCGATTCCCTGGACCTCTGTGTGACTCCTCTGACCTCTACACAGGAGTCTCCCCCAACACAATAAAAATATGAATGTAATTTTAGAAAGTACTTGGGTAAAATATTTCACAGGTTACAAGTTCATGTCTTTGAAAGCTGCTAATGGGATGTCTTTTTCCACAGGCTGGATAAACTCATGGACTTGGCAGTTCAGGCTTGAGAAAGAAACAAACTCAGAAGAAAGATGGCGTTCGTTGCAACCCAGGGGGCCACGGTGGTCGACCAAACCACTCTGATGAAGAAATACCTTCAGTTTGTGGCAGCTCTCACGGATGTGAATACACGTGAGTCCATCCTTTTTTGGAATGAATAACAAACCTTAGTGTTTGTCCTTGGTCTCCCCCTGTCTACCTTGTGGAGAAGCACCGTGATGAACAATACTGCTGGAGCCCCAAAGAGGCACAAGTATGTGTGCGCTTGCCTGTGTGTGTTTGTGTATCCTTGTCTGTGCATGCACACGTGAGTCTGGGAGGATGGGTGTGTGTGACTGGCAGTAGGGACTTAGCCATGTGCCATCTTCTGGGCTGTGACAGTCAAACTGATAAGATCTGATTACTTCTCCTCAGTTCTTAAATCCAGTGATTTTTGAAGCCTTCTTAAGGCAGTCTCAATGAGCTGACTGTTTTGCTATTTACAGCTGATGAAACGAAGTTGAAAATGATGCAGGAAGTCAGCGAGAACTTCGAGGTATGAGCCTCCTCCTCCTCCTTCTCTTCTGTTTTTGTTTAAATTACACTTATTATAGGTCTGTTTATGTGCCAGCACATGCCATGGGTGCTGTGTGCTTGTCACACGACAGTCTGGGGAGTCTGTTCTTTCCTTCCATCTTGTGGGCCTGGGGATTGAACTCTGGACATTTTGACAGCCTTGCAATTTCCTCTTATCCATGCTTTCTCCTGTTCTTGCTGTCAGTATTTTTAAAAATGTAATTTTTTTTTTTTTTGCTGTATAAGGTGTGTGTGGGGTGCAGGTTATGTGTGTGTGTACATGCTACCACAGTGTTTACATGGAAGTTAGGGCAGCATTGTGGAGTGGTGCTCTCCTGCCTTTACGTGGCTTCTGGGTGTTGAACCCAGGTTGTCAGGTGTATTTGGTGGCAACTTGATCTGCTGAGTCATCCTGCCAGCCCTTTTGTCAGACTTTGTATAAGTTGTGTTTATCGTTGTTACTGAGCACAGCAGCGTGGTGCACTGAGGTACTGAGAAGCACTGTGGTGCACTGAGGTATTGGTTTCTGCTCCTGTCACCTGTACGTAGGCTCTGGGTATCTTCAGGCTCATGTGAGGAGTACTTCCGTCTCTCTAGCCCTGTCAAGTCTTTTGTTTCTGACTCAGAGGTCATTGATAGTAAAGGCCTGTCCTGGCATACTCCTGTAATCCTGGAGTGAGAAAGCTGCAGCAGGAGGATTGGCAGTAATTATTCACATCCTAGCTGGACTATAGTGTGGAAGGGTTCTGAAACGTCTGTATTTTCTCTGCATGTTTACTTATCTTGCGTGTGTATGTGTTTGGGCACATGCATGCCATGAGGGGCGTGTATAGCTCAAAATAATTCACCTTCCACAGGGTGGGTTCTCCCTCAGGCTTGGCCATAAACAATCTTTACCCTCTGAGCCATTTACTACGCCCCAAGGCCTCAGTGAAAATTCAGAACAGAGTTTGAAACTTTGTACACAATTCTTCCCATCTTCCTGGTGAAGAAGCTCAGCTACGTGTTTAGGAATGTTGGTGGTGTTTGGTTGCTGTAGCACTTTCCTTTTTAAAGAAGACTCTCATGGTTTTACTCAAACGCACTCAAGTTCAGGTTGTGATTCATTATGTTCAGGCGTTAGCTCATCCGACACAATGCGGTCATTTCTGGTTTTAGTACTTAAAGATGTTGGTGACCTTGTTAAAGCAGTTACTCCCTTCTGAGTTTCTTGTGATTCTGTGATTTTATATTATCCCACAGATCCCTCAGACTCTGTTTGTAGATGGCCTTTGACTTGTTTTTAAATTGGGAAATACTGATTTTGGGAAAAAGGAAATAAAAGACAAAGAATTTTCATTTTCTGTGTATGTTGATGAAGGCCTGAATGTGTCTGTGTACCATATGCATACAGAGCCTGTGGAGGCCAGAGGAGGGTGCCAGCCCCCGGAAGGAAGTGGAGGTTAAGGCTCTTGGGAGAAGACATGTGGGCATAGGAAAGTCTGCCCAGGTCCTCTGCAAGAGTAACAAGCTGTCTCAACCACTGAGCCATCCCTCTCACTCTTCAGGAGGGTTTGTCTTTAGGGATACTGTTATCTCCAAACTATTTTTACATTTTCAGTTTACTTTTTTGTGTGTTTTCAAAGTCACTTAGCTTTAGGTTTTCCGTTGTGTGTGAATTTCGTTTCTCTGCCTGTTCCCCTTCTGCTCTCGCATCATCTGTTGCTTTGTTTACTTTTTGAACAGCCATACATTTAATGACAGGGATACATTCTTAGCGTTGTGTCATTTGGCAGTTTTATTATTTGGACAGCATTGCATGTATTCACACAGACATAGATGGGATAGGTCAGTTAGTCAGTGTAGCCTCTTAAGAAATTTACAGTTTGTAGCCGGGAGTTGGTGGCGCATGCCTTTAATCCCAGCACTTGGGAGGCAGAGGCAGGCAGATTTCTGAGTTCCAGGCCAGCCTGGTCTACAGAGTGAGTTCCAGGACAGCCAGGACTACACAGAGAAACCCTGTCTTGAAAAAACAAAACAAAACCAAACCAAAAAAAAAGAAAAAAAGAAATTTACAGTTTGTACGTGTGTCTGTGTGTGTGTGTGTGCAAGTGTGTGCACACACACGCATGCCACAGCATGTGTAGAGAGAGGCCAGAGGACAAGAGGGAGTTGATTCCCTCTTCCCATGTGGGTCCCTGGAAGGTACTGGTCAGTGGCTAGTACCTTTACCTGACGAGTTGCCTCACCAGCTTGCCTCTTAATATATTCAAGTTGTAGTACACTCAAAATGTTGGAGGCTAATGCCGGTGTGTAATACAGTAAGTGACATTTAAGTATGTTTACACTCAAATAATGATGACATGCCTGGTGACATGTGCCTGTTTACCATAGTAGGGCAATACTATCAGACTCTGTCTTATAAGTTGAGAAAGTCTGCAACCAGTTAAGCAGAAAATTCCTTTCCTGGTGGAAATGTGGAGTGCAAAGCTGAAATCAGCAGCTTCCTGGAGTATAGCAGCCTGTTGCTTAGGTGGATCGCCCAGAGGGACTTTGAAGGCAGTTCTCTTGCAGATAATCCTGTCTCCAGTTTCAGTGCTGTTCCCAACCAACTGAGGTTCCAGGAAGACTTGGAGAGTGCCGTTGGGAGGCCCCCGGGCTCGGTGGCCAGAGTTGAAGCCAGGTCATTACACTCATCTGCTCCAAGCTGCAAAATAAGGAACTTGTGGATGTGGGCTGGAGTAGAGGCAAGCTTGAGTGCTCTGGCCCACAGAAGACCCGCACGCAAAAACATGGGGCTTCGCCACATTTAATGCAGAGGAACTTGAAGGATAGGGTAGCTGAGCAGTGGTCATCCCATGGCTGCTGGCTCAGGTGTATGCAGTTGTCCACAGTCAGGAGCTGAGAAGTGGTCGTCCCATGGCTGCTGGCTCAGGTGTATGCAGTTGTCCACAGTCGGTAGCTGAGCAGTGGTCGTCCCATGGCTGCTGGCTCAGGTGTATGCAGTTGTCCACAGTCAGGAGCTGAGAAGTGGTCGTTCCATGGCTGCTGGCTCAGGTGTATGCAGTTGTCCACAGTCGGTAGCTGAGAAGTGGTCGTTCCATGGCTACTGGCTCAGGTGTATGCAGTTGTCCACAGTTGTTGCCTGGCAAATGGCAGGCCCTGCATTTCTAAGGACTTCCACTACCCTGAGTTCTCTTCCCCACTAAACCGTGTGTAGTACTGAATCTCACATCCAGTATGTCTTTAAAAAGAAAGAGTTAAAAATGCAAGGTGGAGTTGATACAGAAGGCACAGTGCAGTTGCTGGCTCTTGGGTTTTAAACACTGCACACAATGGCGTGGGCGGTCCTTTTATCTGAGAAGCACAATGGACTTACTGACATGTCTCAAAGACGGGGCATTGTACCTGACGCTGTGATGGCCTTGACACAGTCAGGCGATAGATAGGACTTTTTTTTTTGGCTCCATTATGATTTTACAGAATCTTTCTCAAATGTGGTCCATCATTGTGTATGCACTGACTTTTAGAATGGCTGCTTTACCATCTCTTTTGAGACTCTAGCCCTGGTTGGTCTATAACTCAGGATACCAAAGGGAGTGGCTTGAAACTCAAGAGAGCTGCTTGCCTCTGCCTCTTCAGTACTGGGATTAAAGGAGGTGACCACTGTTTCTGCCTAATAATTTAGTGTTTTAAAAAGCTAGTGTTTCTTCTAAGTGAAGACCTAAGTGTCTTTTTGTTTGTTTTTGTTTTTATTTTCCTTTTTGGGACAGTATCTGGCTTTGTAACAAAGAACGGCCTCTAACTCATGGTCCTCTTAGCTCGTCCTTCTGCTAAGTCACACACATATTCCACTGCACCCTGCTAACTGTTTTGGAGATCAGCCTTGAATGTTCAGTATTTTCTAGAGCATTGGTGTTCTTTTTCTTTGCTTAAATGTATTTACTTGCCGGGCGGTGGTGGCACACGCCTTTAATCCCAGCACTTGGGAGGCAGAGGCAGGCGGATTTCTGAGTTGGAGGCCAGCCTGGTCTACCGAGCGAGTTCCAGGACAGCCAGGGCTATAAGAGAAACCCTGTCTCGAAAAAAAAAAATGTATTTACTCATTTTTTTGTTTAAATTACATTTGTGTGTGTACTTGGAGTGTGCATGTGGAGGTCAGAGGGTAATTTGCAGGCGTGTTCTCGCCTACCATGTGGGTCACAAGGATTGAACTTGGTTTATCATGTGTGGTAGAAAGCGCTTCCACCTGCTGTACCACCTGAATGCATTTTAAATGATGTATGTGTAGAATGATGTGCCAGGTGGTACTCTGAGCCTGAGAGCATAGTCAGAAGCCTTCTAGGTCATTATTACTATCATCATCATCATTATTGATTTTTCTTTTTGAGACAGGATTGTTCTATATATCCCTGACTGTCCTGGAACTCACAGTATAGAATAGGGTGGCCTCAGACTCATAGAAATCCATTTGCCTCTGCTGGGATTACAGGCTTGGTTCTTTTAGAGGTTACCAACAGTCATTCCACCCTGCAGCAGTGTACCCTCTTGCTTCTGCTCATCAGCCTTCTCTGTCTTGACTCTGTTTTCTCTTCATCCTCGGACACCATTTTCTGTTGAGCCTGTATGAGGTCAGCCTTTAAGAGTATGCAGGAGTGAAGCTGTAGCGCTTAGCTTTATGTGTAGCTCATTTCCATTAATACAGTGGTCACGTGTGCTGTCCACCTTTTCCCAAGGAACAGGACAGGGTCAAGATATTTTTAATAGTTGAGTGCAGCATTCCACTTTATTTATATACCACATTTTCTTGGACCAATCATTATTTGATGGACACTTCTGTTGCTTCTATTTCTTGGCTCTTGTGAATTGTGCTGTGGTAAATTAAACATGGGAGGAATTCAAGCAACTGTGTATGTGTGGTGCTGGGAATTGAACCCAGAACCTCAAGCTCAACCATTAGGTTGTGTATCTAGTTTGGTATGTCCAGTTTGAGCATCTGTGCACATGCGCATGTGTGTGTGTCGCTGTAGGGAGGTAACAAGGTCTCATGTAAGCGCGTGCACACACACACACACACACACGTACGTACATACGTATATGGGTATCTGGATTCCAGAAGAGGATGTTAAATTCCCTAGAGCTGGAGTTACAGGCAGTTGTGAGCTACCTGCCACTCCTGCTGGGATCCAAACTGTGGTCCCAGAGGAAAGGCAGAAAGCTTAACTCTGTTACCCCTGCCATACCCGATTTTAACAGTAAATTTTAGTACCTAATTTTCTTTTAGATTTCAAACCTTAATTTACTATGGTGAATTTAATATGGCGTTATCTTGAAAGTATCAGAAAGGATTAAGAATTGTCAGCTCTGGAAACACAGTGACGTCTCAGTGGTTAAGAGTGTTGACAGCTCTTGCAGAGGGCCTGGGTTTGAGTCCAGCTCACAGTAGCTTCCAGCTCTAGTTCCAAGGGATCCCATGTTCTCTGTGGTCTCCTTGGAAACTTGGATGCATGTGGTGCACATAAAAACTCACACAGACGCAAGTTCAAAAACAAAAGCAAAAAGACCCTGTGTTTTGTTTTCTTTTAAGATTTTTATGTGAGTTTAAAATGAAAATCTGCACACAACTTACTGTGCCTTTCCTTTTTTAATTGCCAACTAGAATGTCACGTCATCTCCTCAGTACTCTACGTTCCTGGAACACATCATCCCGCGATTTCTTACATTTCTGCAAGATGGAGAAGTCCAGTTTCTTCAGGAGAAGCCAGCCCAGGTAATCAGTTAACAGGAATAGTGGGAAAAAAATCCACACCAATGAGCAGAAGCAACTATGAATCAAAACAATATAAAGCCAAAGAATGAAAGAAGTTTCCTCAGTGGGGCAGTCATCCAGGACTGTTGACTCCTTGGCTTTGTTCATCTTTTCTGTGGGTTGAGTTCACTTGCCAACTAGGGACATGTGTGTATGCACATTAGTTTAATTGGTCACAAAGAGGGCCGGTGAGATGGCTCAGCAGGCAGAGGTGCTGGCCACCGAGCCTGAGGACCTGAGTTGAGTTTGATGAGACTCACTTGACAGAAGGGAAGAAGTGACTCCTTCAAGGTGTCCTCTACCCTCTCTGCAGGTACTCCATGATGCACATGTGCCCACAGGTAGTAAATCAATGGCACAGGTAAGTTTGGCTGGAGAGATAACTCAGTGACAAGTAGTACATAAGAGTCTTACGTACTACTCTCACAGAGGGCCGGAGCTCCGCTCCTGACACCCAGGCCAAAACTGCCTGTAACTAGCCCCAGCCGGACCTGGTACCTGTACATACATGAGCAATTCTTTTAAAAATTAAAATGTGTATTCAGTCATAACTATTAAGCAGTGAGGTCGGAGCCTCCCGTGTTTCACTTACACTGTGCGTGTCTCTGGCAGCAACTAAGGAAGCTGGTGCTGGAAATACTCCACAGGATTCCAACCAACGAGCATCTTCGTCCTCATACGAAAAACGTTCTCTCTGTGATGTTTCGATTTTTAGAGGTAATCTTTGAGAATTCTCTTAATAGCTGTATTTCTGTACTTAAATCATTCATCATTTTTTTCTTACAATAAAATCCAGTAGCAGTCCACATTTCACCAAAGATCTGATTAAATGAGTGAAATTTGTCTAATATCTTTTTGTCTCATTTTTGTTTACTTCAGTAAGACTCTACTTAATTGAAGATTTTTATTTTGTTTCTTTCTCTCTCTCTTTTTTTTTTTTTTAAGACAGGATCTCACAATGTAGTCCAGGCTAGACTGGAACTCTCTATGTAGACTAGGCTTGAACTTAAAGAGATCCATCAGCCTCTGCTTCCTGAGTACTGAGATTTAAAATCTAAAGTTTACACCAAGATACCTGGCTCTTTTTTCTTTTGAGACAAGGTCTCACTATGTAATACTGACCTGTCTGGAACTTGCTGAGTAGACCAGGGTGGTCTACCTCTGCTTCCAGAGCGGTGGAATTAAAGGCATGTGCTGCTTTACACAACAAGGCCTTAGAGTTTTAGGTGAATGCATTTGTTAATCTTTTTGCTTCCTCCCATCTAGACTTGGGGCCTTGGGAAGGTATGTTTGTTAAGGATAGACTTGGCTTCTTACTTCAGCTCTGCCAGTCCTGGCTGACTGACCACATTGGCCCCATTATATAAGGTCTCTGAGGCTCTGTGACCTCGATAGTAGAACGTGGATGGTTCATCCTCACAGAGCATAGCATTGGCTTACACTTAGCACCTATCCGTCCAGTCCACAGTTGATGCTTAGTAACTGGGTGTTCTTTCTTGGTCTTTTGGCAGCATGGGTTGATAACTCCCTACCTCACAAACATGGAAATGAGAGTGTTTGGGACTTTTATTTTATTTTGGGTTTTGGGATATCTGCATATACATAACAGGATTTGTTAGGGCTACAACCTCAGCCTAAATGTGGAGTTTGTTAGTATAGCATTGGCACCTTCTGTAGATAGCTTGGAGGTGATTGTATGCCATGTTTTTACTGTGTCTGTGTTTGTTTTGACGTAGAGCCATTACATGAAATCAGG